TGTCTTTGTTGGTGCACCATAAGTTAAAACTAAAAATAAACTAAGTTAATGTAGTACCATTCAAACATTTGGAAATACCTGACTTGATAAAGGCTTAAATGGCTAAAATTAATTTGGTAGACAAATTTAAACCATGGATATCCATATATGCATGTACTGCAAGACTTCACAATAAGGTTCCATTCATTGACATTGGTTAATGTATTATGTCATGAACTAACAATGAACAATAATTAATTTGCAGCATTTACTAATCTACAGTAGCTTAATATTAATTCATAAATACAGTACAACTCATTGTCATTTCTTCATAATGCATTAACTCTTGTTGAAAATGTATTAAATACACAGAGAAAAGATCATCAACAGAACAGGGAACAGGTGTGGACTAATTAGAAATGATATATCATATATTATATATATTATATAGAATAAATATCTGGACACAGGTAAAACAGAGACCAAGAAAACCAAGACTAGAAATAAAACAAGACAGTGAAACAGAACTTCACCCAACTGTATTGCTAGAGTGTTGCCTAATGGTATAAAGGAGTCCATCCACAAGCCTATTGATTCTTTAGTGTAGGTACAGTATACAGGATTGTAAGACTTTTTTATTGTTTGTCAGGTGAAAATTCAAATTCAAATTTGTTTGTATAGCGCTTTTCACAATAGGCCTACATATTGTTTCAAGGCAGCTTTACAGAAAGTGCATTTCAGAAATGTACGTAGAAAAAATACAGTTAGTTAATCATGTATAAATTTAGGGCATAACATATCGCTGGCGTGGAGTCGTCTTTTCACAGGCGTTTAGTCATCTCTTCACAGGCGTTTAGTCAGCTCATCGCAGGTGTTGGGGCATCTGAAGTCTCCGTGAGAAAATCATCGGTTACACTTTATTTTAAGGTGTCATTGTTACAGTGTAATTATATATTTAAGTTCTGAGTAATATTAAGCAACTACATGTACTTAGGGTTAGGGTGGGATTAGGATGTGGTTGAGGGTTAGTTATGTAATTATGCAAAATTTACTGTTATTACTATGGTAAGTATGTGTAACATATGTAACAAGGACACTGTAAAATAAAGTGTTACCAAATCATCTTAGAAAAGTGATAGCACTCCTCTCCATAACAAGCTGTACAATTTGAGATGCCATTTATTTGTGTAAGATGAATTATATAAGTTTAATACTTAGGTTAGAAGACTTTCTAGCAATAGATAGTGATGCTTGCTTTAGTCCTGTATTAAATGATTCTAAAATGGAAGTGTCTCAAACTAAGTGTACAGTATGTCTATGCATATGTATAAGCACTTTCAAAATTACATTAACCTCTCTGAAATGTTGTAGGGCTGACCGCAGTCTGTTAAAGTGTGAAGCAGAAGGCTGAAGTGGAGGGTTTCATGAGAGTATTCTGTTAACAGCCATATGTCAGCTTGTTAAATGAGATTAGAGAGCACTGTCTGTGCCGCTGTGGTGAAATCTGAACCTAATAATTTCAATGTAAAAGAAGATACCCGAAGAGGGGGCCTTCAGATGGCGGTTTGGATAAAACGGCTTAATATCCACCACTAAACACTTAAGAACTGCAAATTAGTCCAACACAAGCAAAATCTCTAAGCAATTATGCCTATTGTATTCAAAAGCAAGATCAATTGTTATAAACGCTCTTTCAACCAGTATTAGAACAGACAAGATCATTTGTAAGAGGTGCTGACACCACATAAAGTCCTCTGGAAATGTAACATGTGTTGTCAAGCCCAGAGGAGAATCTCCTCATTCATATAAAGCATTCTTGTGTATTTGCCAGCCTAATAACGAGATTTATTTCAAACTGTATGGCATATTGGTATGCACAAAATAGTTTACAGGAATGCCCTTGCAATGGAAGTCTATGATGCAAAGCAACGATGTGCACGTCACATTTTTGTTAAAGTGCTTATTAATTATTTAACATAAAAAAAATTGTTATTTGAGCTGTGAAGATCCATTGTCCTTCAGCTGCTGTTATTGTCTGCAATGTAGAAATTAGCCTTGCATAGCCAGGCCTTCAGACTGACAGCAGAAGTTTTAGACTCCATAGCAGCTTTCCATTGGCCAAGGACCACCCAAGAGGATGTCCGAACTCATGTAAAGCAACCAATCATAGTTCACTGTGTTCAGCGTCATGTTTAGCGGTGCGAAAATGTAAAGTCGATGTATCCACGATAACAAACCCGGCTTGCAATTAATTCGAGAACGTCCTGAAAGTCTACCACAACAATGGTGCTGTGACCTTCACATATTTTGAAAATCCAGCGTTTAGTTGAACCTGAATAGCGTTTATTTTCACAGTTGTAAACACAACTTTGGATACAACGGCTTTCTTTTTCTATGAGGGGGTTCGGCATCACAACGACTTTGTTTCCAGACGGACCATTGAAGAACACGACACACGTTTCCCAGAAATCCTGTAGGATTCAATTAATCAGATTATGACTTCGAAACTCCCGAAGTTTTTATCATTTTGTGTGCTACCTGCATCAGATGTTCTGCGAACTGTCCGTGGGCGTGACGTTTGAGGCTGAGACTACGTAGAAAAAGGATAAGCGTGTGCCCATCACTCCTCACATGCTATAAGAAAAACATTTTTGATGACGAATGGGTAAAAAATATAGCACTAAAGAGTATAGGCCAAGTTAATATTCATTTTAACTGAGGTATGAGTTTTTCTGTAATCAACAGCATGTCACAGATGCTGTTCACAGAGCTTCACTTGTGTTGAACCCAAATTAGGGTGACCATACATCCCCGTTTTCCAGGAACAGACCCGATTTTGGTGTCCTGTCTCTCTCTGAAGCTGTCCCCGGAAATGTCCCCATTTTACGTTCAAAATAGCCTGTGAATACACTGCAAAAAAGCCTGACCAATATAGCCTGCTGGTTACCAGAGAAATCGTCTATTGATTGTTTTCACCAACAGAGGAGGCTGCAAGTCACACTGATTACTTCATCGTACGCTGCTACTTTAGCCATGAAGAACTTAAAGTCAAAAAGACAAAAAAATGTATGGAATATTGCAGTATTTATTGTAAATGATTTATCTGTGCACGTCATTATTTATCTGCGCCCTTGTAATCTTCAATCAAAATAACTTCCCCTTCTTTTTGCAGGGACATCTCTTGGCGGGGCAACCTGTCACTCACATGAAATCACAGCAATAACAAACCACAACATCCAACGATGCACTCAATTTCTGATGGTCAAAATCAAGTCCCACCCTACATTATTTCTTGTTCGAGAAGCTGTTTCCCTCAAATATACTTCACAATAGGGACTATTGCAACTTTGTTTCTTGTCAACTTCAAGGATTTCTGAAATGGATTCCAGGGACATTTTCTATTTCAGTGGTCAAAATATAATAAAATGCAGGACAGCACTTGATTTTGTCTATCAGGAATGAATTGGATCATTGGATCGTTGTGGTTTGCTATGGCTTTGATGATCTCATGAATTCCGCACTCACGCCAGTAAACACGTCATCAGTGAAGAGATGTCACTGCAAGAGGAAGGGGAAGATATTTTGATTAAAGGTTATGAGATTATGATTATTAAAAAAAAAAAAATCATGTGCATGGATAAAAGAGACTCAGACACGTTCAGGCACACATTCCAATAACGGAACAGTCTGTGGCATGATGAAGAGCAAAGCAGCATAAAAATATTCACATTTAATAACGTCAACCTTTGCCCATAATGCAAACAGACGAGGCTTGTTTTCCTAATGAAACCACTGGCTATTTCAGTCGGTTCCCGTTAGTCGGGGACAAAACACTTGAGCATGTGGTGCAGGGTGCAGCGCAGTGGGTCTGAGTCTGTCTGGCCGGACCACACCCAGAGATTTCCACCCGCCTCGGGAGAGCTTGTGTATCACACAGCTGAGGTGTCATCCAGGAACATGGAGAAGAAGGGCAAATATCTGCACCCTGTCACAAGCCTCTTTCCCATGCCGTGCCTGACCCCATCCTTCATCATATTTCATTAATAATCCCCCATGACAAGAACAGGATTTATGATAATCTACTTATGAACACAGCTAAAATATTTACCAGCTCACATAAAAAAAATATTCCTTTGAAATGGATAAACTTTCTTCACCATGGATGAGTTTATCAGTGCAGTTGCTCATATAAGTCATTTTCCCGCCTAATATACAGCAGTATCTCATTGTGAACAGTGACCTCTGGTGTTCGGATAGCAATCAGTAGATTCTGCATCTTCAAGAGTGTTTGGAAGTGGCGTCTGTTTGACAAGCGTGTGTCGGCACTGCAAGCCAGTGGCAGAACTTTCCACTGAGCTCTGGTGTTATTTTAATGGCCGGTTTATTGCTAAAGGGACCTTATCATAACTGACACAGCAATTCACACAGACATTAAAGACATTAAGATATATATTTTTTAACACATTTAGAATTTCAATTGGCCATTAGGTGTTTCTTTTCGATCAGACTTCTGTATATGAGGAAAAAATAAAGTATAGACATGGTAAAAAACATAGTCGTTCAGAGCATACAGATACATATCAAGTAAGCGACTAATAATGTCTCATGTCAAACTGTTTAAGACGTACCGATGAAACATGCTAAAGTTCATGCATCAGTAAAGCATCAGTCACTGAGATCTGTGACTGTAAAAATATTTAGCTAGAGACACTAAATTTTAAATTATATTTTCAAAAAATGAACAATTTCAGAAAAAAATATTAACATGTCTATTAACAGCACAGCAACAGCACATTATTTTGCCAATCCATCAACCATCAGAAAAACACACAATTCATAATCTTTCAAACCAATGCTCAATAAAAGCACTTGATATTAAAAGAAAATAACACTACAAAATAATAATAATAATATGTATTATTATAACAAAAAAACTTAAAAGTACAGTTACTGTAAGCTCTTTTCTTCAAAAATGTGAGCTTACAGGAAAAGGTCTGAAAATCTAAAAAAAAGGGGGGGGGTTAAGTTAGTTAATAAAACCATTTGTTTTGTTGTGCAATATATTCTTATTTTGTCACAGAAGAGTGCAAGATTTGGATTTTTGCTCATCATCATCCAGTCCCGCTGACAATTTCTTCCTATTTGGGTCATTAAGCTCATCAAAGAGTCCACTGTCAATCATCTCCTGTTGCCATGGAATTGGCACTGCCCCTGTACTGAATTCCTTAAAAAACTTCTCATCATTGGCATCAAATTCAACCCCCTTAACCTCAGAGAAGTCCCGGATATCACCTGTGTCTTTAGCGTACACAACATTGGGTTTGGGCACCCATGGAGGTGCAATAAGCCCCGCCTCCAGCCGAGGGATGTTGATGGATTTGAAGATCTCGTGTTTCCGAGGGTCATCCCTGTGGGCAAAAAAAAAAACAGTTTACAGTCAGAAATAAGGCATATACGGATAAATTTATGGTTACGGCATTAAGTTTACCTGCAGTTTACCTAAAGCACTAACTCAACTCCTGGAGGGCCACTGTCCTGATTGTAGCTCCAACTATCTCCAAAACACCTGCCTGGAAGTTTCTAGTAATCCTGAAGACCTTGATTAGCTGGTTCAAGTGTGTTTAATTAGAGTTGGAGCTAAAGTCTGCTCAAGCTCCACACAGAGAGGCCTTTAACTCGAGCCCTTATGTTGTCGGTGCGGAGGCGCAAACCACTGAGCCACCTATCAGTCCCAGTATACGAGTCTTTTGAAGCCATGCAAAGCATTGTGATAAATAGACCAAAGTCATATTATACTGAAAATATTCCCCTCTGTCGCAAACCAAAATCAAAAGTGGAGCCAAGACTGAAAGGGTTAGTTCAAATTCTGTAATTACTCACCCTCATGTTGTTCCAACCCCGTAAGACTTTCGTTCATCTTCGGAACACAAATTAAGATATTTTTGATTAAATCTGAGAGCTGGCTCACTCCTCCATAGGCTTCTTAAGGGATCGAAACTGACCGCCCCAAAAGTTATGAAAGACATTGTTAAAATAGTCAGAGTGACTACAGTGGCTCAATCTTAAATTTATCAAGCGACGAGAATACTTTTTGTGCGCAAAAAACAAACAAAAATAACGACTTTATTCAACTAATCATTTCCTTCTCTGTTCGGCCGTGATATTTCACGTAGTGAAACTACGCAAAGCTTCTAGGTTGTACGTCACGCATCACACACATGACCAGCGTCGGCCAATAGTGAGCCTACGTGTGACGTGCAACCTAGAAGCTTTGCGCAATATCACTACGTGAAATATCACGGCCCACAGAGAAGGAAATGATTAGTTGAATAAAGTCGTTATTTTTCTTTGTTTTTTTGCGCACAAAAAATATTCTCGTCGCTTGATAAACTTAAGATTGAGCCACTGTAGTCACTTGGACTATTTTAACGATGTCTTTCATAACTTTTGGACCGGTCAGTTTCGATCCCTTAAGAAGTCGGAGGAGTGATCCAGCTTTCAGATTTAATCAAAAATATCTTAATTTGTGTTCCGAAGATGAACGAAAGTCTTACGGGGTTGATACAACATGAGGGTGAGTAATTACTGACAGAGTTTTCATTTTTGGGTGAACTAACCCTTAAAGGTTGGAATTCGATGACATCAAAGGTCATTGGGTTTTGCAGGCCTTGTTTCTAAACCCATTGACATTAAATCTGGTGTGACACATCTGTCGGCACCATGTTTGATTTGAGAGCTGAAGATTGTCAGTGAATAATAACTAAAATTTGAGTCTGTTCACTCAAAACTATGAAATGACTTCAGAAGACTCAAAAGTGCATATTGTCTACTTCTATTGATTAGATTTTATGGTTTTTGGCCATTTTTTAACAGATGTGACAGGAGCTGCATAAAGATTCTTAAAACAATTCTCCTTCTTTGTTCAATGGGAAAAATTGGATTTGGGCTGCCATAAGGGTGAGTAAATATTGACAAATTTTTCACTTTTAAGTGAAAGTGTTCCTATAACAGGATTCAAATAAAAATTTTAGTGGGTTGAAATAGTTTCAGCAACAGACATTGGGAATAGTATTATATGTTAAAATGTAATTTAAACCTATGAGCAATGAAGCTGGTATTAAATATCTTTGTGTCTTCACCCACAGAATGAAAAAAGACTCAGAGCTATTTTGTTTTAACATTCATGCTTTGCTCCATCCAAACCCAGTGCTGCGGCTCCAAAACCACTGCTCTCAATGAGAAAGGCTGACAGAAATGGCCTGTTTCTTCGATTTGCTGCCACACTGGCTTAAATTTGCTGACAGAGTAAAGCTTCTGCTCCTCTGTTGGCACATGGAGGGCAGTTGGACTGACCATGTCCTAATAATGACCTAGAGTGGAAACAGTGTGTCCTCTTGCCATGAAACACAGAAACGCTGCCACTTACTTGCAGCCGAGGCGATCTTCAATGTTCTTTTTCAGAAAAAGACTGATGATGTCCTTGGAGGGGGCGTCAAAATTTTCATGTTCAAATTTGCACTCGTCTTCAAGAGTTCTCCTTACTATCTCTTCTTTAGTAACCTTCTCTTTGTGATCTCTAAAGGGCAGACGGCCGGCCACCATCTCATAGATGCTGCAGCCCAAGGCCCACCAGTCCACTGACGTACTATATGGTTCACGCTTCAGGATCTCTGGCGCCATATACCCCTTGGTGCCAGCCTACGATGGAAAAGACAACAAGAAGGGTTATGAGAAAAACCATTCAGCCTTCTTGAAGCCACCTGAAAAAGCATTTCAAATCATATTTAAAGCCATCTATCATGGTACAAACTCTTTGACCTCTTCTTCATTCTCACTAAAATCCCATTTCAGAAGAGATTCCTGAAACAAGTTACAGACACAAAAACAGTCTCTTTCCATTTAACCAGTATCTCCAGGGACTTAAGTCAAACCCTTTGTAAGGGTGTGCTCTGCCAAGCCAGATGCCAGCTTTGAGTAATACTGTGATTAGCATTAGCAAGGGCTTATTCAATGTTTTATGGTATTGGCAAAAATATTTGTTAATAATGAAATAGTCAAATATTTCCTCTTTTTGCCACTTGGAAAAATTAGCTCAGTGTTTTAATTATTAGAGTCAATCAAAGTTTTACCTGTGTCGTCATGAAACAGTTAACAGAATACTGAACTTAGTCAAGTTATTTGATACTCTAGTGGTTTGTAAAATGGTTGGATGGATTTCATGGGTTAATTTTCTTTTCAATTATGTGTGATGTATAAGGTACACCAAAAGTACTCGATTAATTCAAAAGTTATCTATTCCAATTACATCAATTCTAAACTTACTATGACAGGATTTAAATAATGCAGCACTTTAGGCCAGTGTTTCCCAACCCTGTTCCTGGAGACACCATTACTACGGCTGCATCAGAAAATGCATACTTCACCACAATATAGTAGATGAAAAACAGTATGAGAAACAGTGTTTGTGAAACAGTAGGCAAAATGTACCCGAATGACCTTCTACTTCTGGCAAAATGTATTTGATGGACAATTTACTATCCCATGAGGCCATGAGAGAAAATTTGTGAATGGCAGTAAAGCGTTTCTAATGCTGAAAGGTCACATGACAATGACAACATGACAAATGTAGTATGTCTGGATTACATTCATACAACACACATTCATACTATACAGAACATCGCAAAGTAAGTACCTCAGTGGACATGTTATTTTTGGATACAGCTAACACATTTTCAAACTCTTTCTAATCAAGCACCTCTGATGCAACGCATCAGTTTGTTAGTGGAGACTTCATAGATGGGTCAGATAAATGAGACGTGAAATGTGTACATCCAAAATGTGTACTGCTGGTGTAACGGAGGCCAGCTAGTCAGAGCTGTGCAAGTAAACCTCACTTCTCTGGCGTGCTAGCAAATTACGCTAGTGGCTGCAGTCTTTAGTGTCCTGTTAGTGTGCCCGTCTCCCATGCCAGTTGATGTTGGTTCATATTCTGCTCAAAATTGCTGCTCAATAATGGGTATGCCTCCAGGAACAGGGTTGGAAAATATTGCTTTAGCGCAGTTGTAGCCAACCCAGCTCCTGGAGAACTAACCGGGAGTTCAGCTTCAACCCCAATCAAACACAACCTGATGCAGTTAATCAAAGTGTTCAGGGTTACTGAAAATGACAGGCAGGGCTGTTAAAGCAGGGTTGGAACTAAAGTCTACAGGAAGGAAGTCTCCAGGAGCAGGGTTGGCTATCCATGCTTAAGCGTTATAGTATCAATAAGTACTTTGCAAAGCTGTAAGCACTCATTTATGATTGGGGGTAGTACTGGGACTTTTTAGGACTCAGGTGTTCAGCAGTTACCTTTTCAGGTGCCCACGTATACTTTAAAGTTCAGTCTTCAAACTTTTCATCTACCAGCTCAGATTAACCACTAGTCTACAACTTCACCTCCCACATTTTCCAGGGAGATAATATTTTCTTCATAAAAGCTTGTATTATCTTCCTGTCCTTACCTTTTGAGAGATAGTTTTCCCGTTTGGTAGTTCCACAGCTAGGCCCAGGTCTGACAACCTGCACTGGCCCTGACTGTCCAGTAGGACGTTTTCTGGCTTCATGTCACGGTACACAATATCCATAGCATGTAGGTGTAGGATACCAGTGGTGATCTGAGCTGTGTAGTGAATGATTCGCTCCATCTCAATGCCATTATCCCCAATGTGGTAAATGTGGTACTTCAGATCTCCTCCATTCATCAGAGTCATGACCAGACACAGGTGTGTCTTTGTGGTAAATGCATAGGCCAGGTTCACCAGAAACAGGCTGTTCACCTTCTCCAAGATTTGTTTCTCCAGAAGAGCCATCTTTTCCCCACCTTTTTTCTTCAGGCGTTTCTTGTCCAGCTTCTTGCAGGCATACATCTGACCCGTGTTTTTGACCTGAACAGCACACACCTGTACAGAGAGAGATTTAAAAGAACATTAAAAAGAGAAACAATGCTGTTGTTGAAATTGAAAGTATTGTTTTATACAAAACAATACTGTTTTTTTATTATGGAAAAACACAGAATATGGGGCGGCAGTAAGAATACACACTTGAAAATCTATTCAGATGAAGGAATTATTTTATTATGTGCACTGAATATTATGTCAAAGGTATCAGGAGTATTATTTCCAGGGGATTTTATTACAGTTGGCATTTGGGATTCAGCCAATGTATTACACAATTCATCAAAGGATATTCACCTTGTGTATTGTCTCTTTAGTTTTGTCTTAAATGTGAAGCAATCTGCAAAATATTTCCTGTAATTCGAATGAATTTCCAGAACATTCTCCCCATCTGCCAACAATTGGAATAACCACAAACTCACACAGGTAAGTATGGTGACAGTGGACATGCCAGCTTCTGAAACTAATATAGCAATGTTTGATACCACAGCGATTAAATATTAAGTGAAATCAACCTATGAATGGCTGTATCTGCATATTGAACATATTGAATCCTGAGCATGAGGGAGAAGTTGAGCTTTTCCTACTGTGACATATCCAAATGAAACTTCTTCTTGAACAAGGAAAAATGTAGAGCATGACTTGAATTTGTCCATCAGGAATTGATTGATTGATCTCATGTAGGTGATAGGTTGTTATTGAAAATGTAATAAATTACTGTTTGTTTAAAATCACTTGCCTTTTCTGTTGACATCACTAAACAAGCTACTGGACATGATCTAATCCATTCCTAATGGACAAAATCATGTACTCTTCAACATTTGTTTCTCATTTAATATCCTGCTTCACTCTGAAATACCGTTTGAAATATTTCACTGTTGAAATATATAATAACATAAAATTACACACATGACCTCTAAAAGTTAACAAAAGGATAATAGCAGGCAATTTAGTTTTATAATAAACATTCATAACACATGATGTACTATAACTGTAACTAGAGTTAAACTGAACAATAACTATCAAATTATTCAAGCTGTTAACCAAACCAAGAATCCGCAGCTAAAACAGAGAACTTCTAAAACAATTCATTTTTAATATATTTCAACAGTAGGTTTGTTTGTGACAGGGTAAGAGGTGCAAACACTCACCTCTCCAAAGCCTCCCTTCCCCAAAGTCCTGAACTCATAGAAGTATTTATCAGAGATGGGCTGCTTCTCGAATTCCTTCCACTGCACAAATCTCTCAAAGAACGGGCTAGTCTGATACTCATTGAAAGGGTTTCCTCTCAGAAACTCTTGCGTGGCTTCTTTCACCTGTCCCATCATCACTTCCTCAAAGTCCTTCTCAGAGACGGCTTTACACTTCTCCACCATGTCCTCTGTCAGATAAGACAGGAAACTTTTGGAGTCAGTTTTGCAGAATTTGTTAATGATATTCTGCCTGGCTTTTTCTTTAGCACCTGCCTCTGCTAAATTCCAGTCATTCAGCTCCTCCAGGAACTCTGCAGCGGCAAGGTATTCTGGATTGGAGGCTAAGAGGAACTGTTGGAAGCATGTTTTCCCAATGGGCTGCCTCTCGCAGATGTCCTCAAAGTCCTTGGGAATATCTGCACACACCCTTGTACAGTTTTCAAGTTGGGGAAGAATTAGGGTACGCCTTCGTTTCCTCATCTCCTTGTCGTCTTGACTCTGTGCTTTCAGGTAGGCTGTGTTTGCCACTAGGTTGCCCAGTCCCCCCATGTCACACATGGCTGTGGCGAGGTGAAGGGTCAACTATGTGATGCTGCAGGTAACAACGAAGGACATGGAATATAGGCAGCACAGTGGCAAGCTGTGATATGCAGATGAGTCAAAAAGAATGGGGCTTCAGCATCTCAAGTCAGAGTCTTCCCTGTGCCACTCATGTAATTGCTTAGTCAGAATTAAAAACCTCAATAGGGGTTTTCTCTTAAGTAAGTGTCTTTGTATGCTAATTCGTGGATACTGCTCACGGAAGGAACTTATGCCGTACCCAACTTAAGAGGATTTGTGCTATGTTTAGCCACAATGCTAAGGGATAGACAATGTAATTGTTGCCTGATGTGCTCAGTCCTCTACTGTCAACTTCAAGTTCGAGAAAATAACTTGATGGGTTTCTGAAGAAAATGTGAGTGGTGCTTGCCCATGCAAAATTTGCTGCTGTAATGCAATAGGGTGTTGCTATCCAGTTTTTAAGCCAGTGGTTCTCAAAATTTTGCCCAAAATGTATCTTTTTTTTGGATCTCTACTTTCACGATAATATAAAACTCTCCTGATATTAGAGTAACAATTACAGAAGAATAACATAAACAATATTTTGTTAACTTTTGGAGCTTGGAAAGGTTCAGTTCGAGCAGATGTTTATTTTATACCATCATCACTGTCCTCGCCATAACTAATTTCCCAGTACATTCAGCATCTGGCTCATATTCACTATCTCAAAACGATAATTTTCAACATCTTCAAAATCAATATTTCGATCGCTAACAGCTTCTTCACCAGATCCACAATCAAGTGACAGTGACACTAATATTTGATTGCATTCAGTACTTCAAGCACTTCAGTACATTTCAAGTTGTGCTGATGATACATGCTATTCTTTTGTTTTCTGCCTGCAGTAACTATGAGTGAAACGTCACTTCATCATTGTGTATCAGACATTGTCACCTTTTGGAATAAAGGTGAATTGGACTTATTCAGTCATCTAAGATTCATTATTGTCATATACTTGGGTAGTTAGAGACCCTTATAGGCAAGGCAAGGCAAGGCAAGGCAAGTTTATTTATATAGCACATTTCATACACAATGGCAATTCAAAGTGCTTTACATAGAAGAAATTAAAGTAATCAAAACAAGAATAATTAAAACAGTTTAGAATAAAAAATCAAATAAAGTAATACTGGTCCACCCCTATCTGAGATTATATCTTATACACCCCTATCTTATACAATGTTTTACAAAAGAATTACTTGGGAAAACAGGCATTCTTTTATTATTATTTTTTTCTTGTGTTGTTTATAATGAATTGATTAAGGAATACCAAGAAGGTTGATGTCTAACTTTAAAAAATGAATGAGGAGGAGGGTAGTTATCGATGTCCTTGATCAAAGACTCAATGTATGTGTTCAAGGGTTAATGATGCATGATTACCTGCCAGATGATAGTAAAATAATAGCTCTTTTTATGTTTGAAAGTTTAATACTTTTAGAGGTCTATTCAAATTCTGAACCCTATGTATGAGCCACATTAGTGATGCCTGCCTTAGCTTAACTCCAATTACATTTTATTGATGCTGTTATAAGCTCATAGATCTTCGTTGTTTTCAGTTCTTTGAGTCTGAAGACTTTAGAATCATACATGGGACAGTTTTAGAGCTCATTATGACAGTAGAATGAAAATAAGCCTTCATTATGTGTAAACATTATAGTAAGATTACTTGAATAAATTGCTTGACTGCTTTAATCAAGCTTTGTGCACTGGGGCAGCCATGTTAGCATTACTAGGTTGTCTGGCAGACAGCTGTCATATTGCAATGATGCAGCCTTACAGTACTTGCATTTATTAAGATGGCAAGCTTTTTCTTTTTCTAAAATAAAAATCTGTAATGAAGTGTTTTTTTTTTTTTTTGTTAAATGAGTGAGAACAGATAGTAGCCAACAATATAATAGACATAATTAGACATTTAACCCATTTATACTAAGCTGTACTCTTGATGATATGCATGATGGGCATTGGGTATAGACTGCATACATAATATTCAATGAAAAAATATGTTGGGCAAGCCTTATTTCAAAAGCAGGTTTTATGTAGTAGAATGCTGCCAGACCTGAATGTGAACTCCCTAAAAAAATGTCTAGCTTTATTCTGTTAACATTATCTATAGCGTGCACAGCCTCAAGTATTTTTACATTAAGTTATTACATTACATATTGTTTATACAGGACACTTTTGTCACACTAGCTGCTTAACATGTCATGTCAACTACCAAATACAATTTAGTGTATAATATTTAGTCTCGATTGCACTGTTGAGAAAAGCCCTTAACCCCAGAATGCACCAGGGGGGATATCAGTACAAACAGTTTACAGTGCCGCTGGCTGAAAAACCTGCGTCACATTTCTAGTAACTAAATCTTTGTCTTGGAAATTGTCCTTATGGGTTCCGGACTAATCATAAGCACTCAAATCCTGAGCTAATTGTTTCACTAGAATTAGCAGAGGATGGAGCAATAAGAAACGTACTGCCGGAAGACTCACGAAATGCTTTTTCACTGAGGTCTCAGTGTTGCATAGAGATTTTTTTCCCCAGTTTTGTGCGGTAAAACATTTCATAGATAGATTACTCTCTTTGCAAGTACTCATCTAAAAGTAAAATTTGCCTGCAAGCCAGCTTTATAAATATTGAAGTTTATTGATGACAAGAACCATTCCTTTAAATCTGCCCATTGAGGGATTTTTAGAGACCTGTACACTAATAATGAATAATAATTTAAACAACCATCAATATATAAAACGTAAATGCTCACCAGAAATACTTACAACATGATTTTGAAAAAATCCTCATCCAGTAATCAGTATCACACACCAATAAAACATTAAATTCTTTTTGGAATTTATTTCTAGCACACTTAAAACACGCATTCATAGTACAACTTCAGTTAGAATGTCACGCATGATGCCACAAACACCCAAGTGAATCTGCTGTTTCCCGGAGCTCTTCTGGCTGGTTCTTGTTAATGCTGTGTGAGGTGACAGAAGGGTAAAGCTAACCAGTGTCACCTGGATTTCTGCCTACATCCATGGTTTCACTTTGACAGTCAAATACATGCAGATAGGTATTCCTACACATTCAGCGGCTGGAGATGATCTGATATTCAGTCTTGTCTCCCTAAGGGGAGAAGTGCCAAAGTGGACGGAGGAAATGTGGGTACAAAGCTCCAATCCTCACTTGCCGATCCTCTGTACCACCCAGTCCTGTTGGCATAGTGGGCATCTATTGTTCTGCTTGACCCAGAGGGACATGCAGCAGTTGTGAAAGGAGTGGTTGCACTCTCCCCATACCACTGAGAGAAAGACAGAATAAGAGACGGTGATGTTTTGGACCCCACTGACTTTTATTGTAAAAAAAAAAATAATAATAATAAAAAAAAAAACACCCAGACATTCCTCAAAATATCTATTTGAGTTCCACAGAAAAAAAATGTGAGGGTGAATATATGATGACAATTTTCAGTTCTGGGTGAAATACCTCTTTAAGTCTTTGCTGCTATAAATATCATAGTGTGAGACTGTGCTTTGATTTTACCAGTTGTCTAACCTACCAGTGTGGAGGCAGGGCGCGTTTGATGACACAAATGAATACTATGGATTGTGCACTTGGTCAAGGTACTTAACCCCTGGTTGCTTCAGTTGGATTGCCACTAATAAGTGTTCTGTAAGTCATCTGTTCTGTAAGTCAAGTGTCTCTGATACAATCATCTGATAAATGACAAGGTCTTTTTTATTATTATTGTGCATTAAAAATTAGAGAAATAAAGAGATACAATGTGACAGAAAATATTAGTGAAGGGCAAACTGTAATGGCAAAGGACTGTGGTGCCATCTGCTTCTAAGGGCTTAATGCAATTTATTAATTAGGCAGGTAATCAGTATGCCAGCAGTAATGTTACAGTTGACTCACCAACGCAGTCCTCTTGTTTGTTTTCTGCCTGGCATCTCAAGCATGCATCTGAAATACATTAAATACACACCGTTCATAAACATACCTAGTTCTTTATATTCATTTAGGACAGAAATAAGTTTTAATCTAAATCATGTTTATGAAGAAGTCACAGTTTGAAGTTGTGTACAATTATAGTTTGATAAGGTTGAGGTGGACACTAGGCTACATTATTTTGCTTGTCTTGGTTTGTCTCAAAGCCTGAACTACCTACCTAGATTGCATTTTGGTATATTGTTTATTTATAATAAACGCATTTGAATGACAATGTTCAATGAAATGACAAGTGCATTTTGCACATTCAACGCAATCTTCTGGACATTGTTCGATTAAGTGTTTTTTTGACGTCTGCGTAGATGCATTAGCAGTTGAATTTGATGCAGCATTTCTGAGCATCACAGGTGTTCAAACGTTCGCTTCAATATTCTTAAAGATTTTATTCAGCAGGTTACAGCATCATATTGCTAGCACATTAGGTTTGGCAATGTTTGTAACGTTAGCATCATAAAGGTGTCGATTCAAAGAATTGATTCACGTTTTTGGGCAATATAACGTAAGTTACAGGTTCACTCGAACGTTTGAAGCGGCATTTAAACGACATATTTTGAGCAGTGATGGTGGTTCATTCGAACGAGCGATGAGCATTACTGTTGCAGAGAGTTTCGATTCTCGGATTTCTCGCTTTTTTTTTTTAGAACTAACGTTAACGTTAGCAGGTGCATTTGATCGTAACACTTTGGCCATAATACGACTTTCCAACGTTTGAGTCAGCATTTAAACGACCACTTATAATTTCCACAAATGTTGTCTGTGTAACGTTAACGTTAGGCAGCAGTATGATCATTCACTTTTAACGGTTCACAAGTTTTAACTGTGTCAGACGAACGCCATCTACGTTCATGGTCTGTTGAGGTTAACCAGCTAACAGTCACATAAATGCTAAGTTACCTCAGGTAACGTTAGCTTGTTAGCTAGAGACACACTCACCCATTACTTGAACCCGACAAATAGCGCAGGTGTCGCACTCCACGTCCCAACTCCACATTGCCACAGCATTCCACTTCTTGAGGGAGAACATCTTATCTCCCCCTGATTTGGATCCAGAAGAACTGCTGTGAGTGTGCGCTAAACCCGGCTCATCACCATCGTCCATCTCCGCCATGGCGAAGAGGCGCAGCAGAAACAAAATGGCTGGGATAGGCGGGTCTGCAGACACGTAGATCGGTCTCTCAGTGGAGTTGTCTGTTAACAGGCCCCTGGATGGATGTCTTAAAATCCATGCCTAATACGGTGTTTTTAACACACGCGGTCAAGTTCATTTTTACCATTTGCTCTAATTTCTCCAGATT